AAAAAAAAAAAAGAATCACAAATATTTTAAAGTAAGTGATAATTAGTGATGAGATAATTAACCTTGGCAATTAGTTCAAGTGGTAAAGAGTTGATAAGAATTAGAGTAAAAAGGTAAGATTTTGTTAAGGATATCAAGAGATACAAGTAGATATGCATTAATAGTTATTGAGTAATTTATGCTAATAAGTCTTAGAATTATTTTATTGAATTGATTTAGGGTTTCTAAATTTTTAGTCAATAAGTTCTTCAATGCCTATGTATAAATGTCATATATATAAATGCTACATATCTATTCATTATCATATCAAAGAGACAAAGAATAATAAAGTATAATGTCTTTCTTTCAGTTTTTACTTCTCTTTTTTATACTTTAATTTTCTTTTATAGATGTGAAGGTTTTTATTGTAATTAACATGCAAACAATTCTAACTAAATACCTGAAACATTGAGTTTTTACTGGACATATGTGGCAAGCTCCAAAATACTTGAATATCAAGTAGAACTATTTTTGAAGCCTAATAAGCCTACCTGATGGATAAAACGGAGTTTTTACCGTGGGGTGTGTGCTGTTAGTTTTTTGTAACTCGATACATGTATCAAACTATCTTTGAAACCTAATAGGCCTAACTGATAGATAAGATGTGTTTATTGTGGAGCGTGGATTGTAGATTAAAACCTCAAAAAGTTTAGTAGTGTGTTTAGGTTTAAGAAATTTAAAGGGGTGATGAGTTTTTTTATTAATTAAAGAGATAATCTATCTTATGTCTTTACAGTATAAGATAAAAAATATTAATTATACAATGATTATCATTTTTTGTCTTAAAAATGATAAAGTTAATTTTTTATTTCTGTTATAAATGTCATATGTTAGATTTTAGTTTGTTAATTTTAAATTAAAAATTAAAAATTATTTTTTTAATATAAAATTTTATCCTTTTCAAAAAAAATTATAATTATTACTTAATAATAGTTTTTTATGACACATGAGAGACACGCCCTTAATTAAATTATAATATTGAAATATTTTTATAATTAAATATTATAATTTAATTAATAAAAAAATATTTTTATTTTTAAATTAAATATGTTTTATGTTGTAATTGAATTTTTAAATAAAGAAATTTAAAATTTTAAAGTTATAATTTCATTGAAATTTATATATTAACACTTGAAGTGATGGATACAGCAGCATATTGAAATAAAAATTATGAAAATGAATTTTACATTCTTAAATTTAAAGATTTATATTTTACTATTTAAATTATAAAATAAGATTTTAAAAATAAATTGTATAATTGAGTGTCAACTAAGTGGACAAGTGCCATCGAATGGAACTGTGGACTCTTCTTAAGGATAAGGGGAGTATTTGTAAAACTTAAAATGTTTTTTTAATTTAGCAGTAGTGTTTATATTTCATAAATTTAAAATTGTGATAAAAAATTTTAAAAATTACCTTTTAAAATAATTTTTAAATAAAATTTAAAAAATTATATATATTTTTTTTTCTAAAATTTATTTCAAATTTATTTAAAAAATTAATTTTATTATTTCTTTTTAGTAAAATTTTTAATTTATAAAAAATTAACAATACTATTAAAATAATTTTTAAGTTTGTTCAAACGACCTCAACAAACCTTGACCAAAGAAAGTCATCACTGAAGTCTTGTAATTTTTTCTTCTCACACAAACGGCCTCAACAAGCCTTGAC